TTCCAAATATAACAGACTCCTCTAGTGCCTTGGTTTACTGCTTCTAGGTTGCTGTTTGAACACCTGGAGAAAGATGACCTGGACAGAGAGAAGGGATTAAAGGAGCTATATGCATGTCCAGTGGAAGAAGAAATTATCCTTTTCTGCTTTTGTACAGGAATAAGAAATTTCTGTCCTTTTAAATGAATATTAGGGTTGATCTTTGTTCTTTTAAATTATAGAAAGTTAAGCCTGAACTCTGGGCTGTAGAATCAAGCTTATAATTCATTTTGAAAATCTCTCGTTGGCTTCATCTGACTCTTTATTACCTAAAGGAAAAAGAGTAATATGATGCTCTTTGTTCATGTATTTTTAAAAAATCATAGAGTGAGCTGTTTGAACTTTTTGCCAGGGAATTTGGTATTGTAGGAAAGCCATGAGCTTGGAAACTTGGGCAAACCTGAACTAGCTGTTCAGTTTAGCTTCTAATGAGTTCTGTGACCTAGGGCATGTTCCTACTTTTTTAAATCTTTCCTCATCTATAAAATAGGGATACTGTTCCCCAATTCACATTGATTTTTGTTTTTTACTTTAAAAAAATCTCCCAAATAGTGCATACTTTTTGCAAGTCAGCAATGTAAAATTGTTTAAAAGGGTAATTAAATCTCATCTCATTCCCCCTCCTCATTCCCAGTTTGTTGTGTGTCTTTGTATACTTTTTCTTCTCCATATACAGATATACATGCTTAATGTATACGCTAACTTACCCTTGACTGTTTAGTTGGAACAGATGGCTTCCATTTCCTAACATGTTCTCTGTAATATGTCCCAAGTATTTCTGCTTTCATCAGTTGAGTTGTACTCTTAACAATTGTGTTTGCTTCCGTACCATTGTGTGCTGGTTATATTTGTCATAAAAATATACAGAAACCAATAAAATATCAGTGCAAGAGTTTTTATCTGAAAACTTTACCTGACAATTAAATGCTTTGGGGAAGGTCTATAGGGTCAAGTTGCTGAAAAACAGCTGTTCAGTTAGGTGAGGGCAAAACAGGTATACAGATAACTCTGGGAAAAATCACTGAGATTCAGTATTGTGCCCTTTCTGCTTGGCAAGTGTTT